CTGCCAATTTTTTACCTTCCACACCCGATAAAACCACAAATCAGGCAGACCCAAACCTGATCTTGTCTTCCACAGATAGAACAGGATAGCTTCTCATCCTGCTCCTGACAAAACCGACATACCTAGTAACACAAAATACAAATAGGAAACCTCACTACATAAACTATATATAATAATAAAGTAGTTGAGCTACTGGAAGCTAAGAAAAGAAACTACTACAAACTTGACTCCAGCGACTAAAATCTCTAAACTGCAATTCAAACAAGGAAAAAATGGGAAACCAAGAACTAGCTCACCATGCAGGACAAATAGGTCCATTTTGAAGTGCAGGAGCACTGAAATGAATGGTCACAAAGGGTACTGAGGATGCCACTAGTGTCTGGGTCCAATCTTTCTGCCAACAAAATACACAACTAAACCAAATTAAGATGGCAGTAGAAAACAGAGCCAACGCAAACCTCATTAATGAACTCTACCCACCAAGGCAAATTGGACAAGTGGGGAGCTCTGTGAATCCTGGGGGAGGAGTGCTTGCAATCTCTGCTGATTCTGTATACTCCACAGAAAGCATGAAAAGTATATGACAAACCTCGGCCTGAAATCATTCAATAATTAACATAGTTCCTTCGAATCAGATCAAGCTATGCATCAGAAAATGAAAACTAAACCAGAGCCAAGAGCAGCTTACCAACCTCAGCAGGGGAAAACCGCTTCCCGTTCAAGCTATTGTAGAGTTTATCAGCTGCCAACTGATCAATTACGCTTATCATTACACTATACCTATCCTCCATTCCATCATTCCTAGAATAAGAAAGAAATGATAAGGCACAATTCACTGGTAATTGCTTCGCAATTTAAGAGAATGGGAACCAACAGCGATAGCCAATTGTGAAAAATTGATAGATACCTGAGGAAGAGAAGCTCAGTGATGTTGTCAATGTGAGTCCCACAAAAGCGGATCAAGTCGAGGGTGGAGAGGTAGTTGGGGACGGCGACGACGAAGAGGGAAGTGGATCGAGAGCTAGGGCTCGGAAGCGAGCTTTGCGATGTGCTCCGATAAAGGTAGACTGCACCTCTTCTCTCACTGAATTTAGGGTTAGGGTTCGACGGGGAGGCGTTGGTAAAGAACTCGGCGTCTTCAATGGTGATGGGATGGTTGACATCAACTGAGTGGACCCGGAGGTAAAACATGGTGTATTACTCGCCTTGGGATCGATTAACGAGAAACCATAGTTGGACTTTGGCTACTATATATTGTTCCAGATCCTTCTCCTCCCTGTGATTTTCACTTTTCCGGTCAGCCGCAGAAGGATGGCTGGCAAGAGGGAGAGGATCACCTGAAACGCAGGTGGCCGGAGAGGAAGGGAAATGCTGTGGCGTGAGCCGGTGGAGGGGAGAAGTGGTTGAATGGGCTCGGTTTGAGGGTGGGTGGATGATGAAGGATAGATAAGGGGGATGGGTGCGTTTGCCCGATCGTTGTAGAGGAATATTTGGCGGCTAGATGGGGATGGTAATGGGTTCGGGTCAGCCGCCTTCTTCACCCTTCTTCCTTTGACTCTTTTTTTTTTTTTGTTCGGCTTGAGTCCAAGTTCATTATGGGTTTGGGGCTTTTGGGTTTTCAGAGGCTTAAAAGTTAAATGTGTTGCAGACTTGGATTTGAGCCCAAGCTTAAGTCCAATTTCCATTAAACTTTTTCTTTTCCTGAATTTGGTCCTTCTTTTCCTGATGTTATGCAGTCAAGTCCCCATTATTTTACTTTTTTTTTATTAGTCCCCTAGTATTTAAAAGTAACATTAAATTTCAACTAATTCCACTTGAATCAAACCCAATAAAAGAAAATTTCTCTCATCATTCATAAAACTTAAACTTAAGAATTTATCTAAAGAAAATCAATTTTTTTTCATTTAAACTAATAAATCATTAGTGTGTTTTTATTTTACACTTCTTGCAACAAATAAAACATGAAACAAAATCAAAAAAGGTAAACAAATTAAATGTTATTAATTAAAAACCAATTTTTGGCATTTATATATATATTACTTTTTTTCAATCTTGTGTGATTTTTGAATATTTTTAACTTTTATATCTTTCAAGGAAATTTTTCAAAATAAAGATTTAGTGAAAAATCAGACTATGATAATGTTTTGGATGTTGTGGTGAGCTTCTGAGAAGCTCAAGTCGTGTGGCACCGAATAGATCTCAATTTACAAAAATTATGTAGACCTTAGTGGTATTGATTTTTTAATATTAATAAGAGAATGACTACCAAATCATTGCAGGGGAGATCCGAATATGATCTAAAAAAATAATAATAAAAATAATAATTGCAAATGGACATGTGTTCAGTGACATTTAAGTGCTAGAACGCTAGCTATGAATATGATCATCATCTAATTTAACAAATGATAAGAGGGGCCGATTCGAAATTCTCAAACTGTTTATAAAATTGAAATCATAATGACCCAATTAAGGGGAACGCAATAAAAGGAGTAATGCAGATAGAGAAGGAACAAGCAACTAAATTTCTCATCTTCAGTATCTTCTTACCTTACACCTATGGTATAAATCAATTGATAAGATTGCTTCTTTGCAAAAAATATGATGGATCGATTTGAAAGAAGCTCCTACTTTTAGCAACTCAATCACCGTATCTGAGAAGGAGAACACAGCAAACCTGAAGCATCTGCCCCAATCACTGCAAGCTCACAGATTGCACACAACTGCCCAGCCTGGTCCGGTACAAACTTGGTGCTGCAGTATGGACAGGATACATCCTTCTGTCCTCGGTAAATTGGCACATAAGTTGCTCCACATACCACAAATGGGTTTCGGAAGTCATAGTTCAGCTGAGCAGCATCAGTCATATTCTTCTCTGCAGCCTGCAGCACTTGCCTGGCCGACCTTGCTTGGTTCTCATTGGATGGGTTTGTTTCTAGTAGGCGCCTTGCGAAGTTAGCTGCTGTAGCCAGATTCCTGGCCTTGTAGCAGACAGTCATTGCATTTAGCAAAGCAAGTCTTAAGTGAGGCATTTGAAGGTTGCAATGGGTGAAGTAAGCAGCAAGCTCCTGCTGGCGTATTGGATCATCTCTAATTTCTTTCCTTGCAATCTCCAATTGAAGACCAAGCACGTACTCCTTGACAATAATAATCAACTCTTTAACTTCATCAACTTCCCTCCTTGACTCCACTACAATCAATGGAATGGTATGAAGAATGCTATGGAAGAGCTGCACAGCATCTCTGAATTTCCCACTAGTTGTGGCCTTGTAACCAGCCCTTAGCTTTTCTTCCAATTGAGAGAAATTGAATACAAGTGCTGGATGACCTCTCACATTAGGACTAGTTGATTCATTCCATCCACGTTCAACAGCAAGGGAAACCTCTGGAGCAGATGAAAATGCACGAAGATATGTGTGGCTGCCAATGTGAAGATCTATAAACAGAGATTTCAAAGGAGCAAAGTTTCTTATGCCAAGTTGCCTGCTCAGCAACCGCATTGCTGTATCAAAGTTGCCAGCAGCTGCATGTTCAGCAGCAAGAGATGATCTCTGAATCCAAATCTGACTTACTGGCAGACCTGGAGTTGGTGCCACAAAAATTGAAGCATGTGAATTGACAGAAACCTTTGGTGTGTCTGCCTCAGGAGGAAGATCTAAATCTTCAAGGTCCCATCCACCCTCTTCTTCATTTCCTTCAACTTCTTCTCCATCCTCCAAAATTGCAGAAACATCGCCATTCTGTAACCCATCCGCATCAACCATTTCAAGCTCTTCACCCCAATCACCCTCAGCACCCTCTTCCTCTTCATCCACATTACCCCTGCCAACACTGTCCAGCCCACCTTCAAATATACCTTTCACAACACGCAGAAGAGGCCAATCACCACCACAGACAACAGGGCTAGGGGCCATCAATAGAGCAGGTACTTTTCCCTCAGGCAATGAAGGAACATTATCCCCCAATTCAATTGCTAAACGTTCAGCAACATCTTGTAAACCATGGACAGAAGCTGTAATATAAGCAAGAGGTAAGTGACCAGCATTCTCCAAGATCTTGACACGTTCTTGGACATCACCAAGATACAAGGCATTATGAAACTGACCCATCACATCATTCTTAACCTCAGCAATTTTTAACATCTTTGACAGCTTATCCATGTTTCCAGTTATGAGATAAAGGAAGGATAACCGCTCAAAATTCTTTGTCCTCTGGTAGGCATATTCCACTATACCTGAATTGCCCTGGCGAAGTGATTCCACGCCTAACCTGTACCAGTGATCTTTCTCATCAATCTCCTTAGCAGAGGCAACTGCGATTTGAATGTTTCCACTCTCCAGAGCCAAATTAAAGCGAGTTCTCTCGTCTTTAACAAAATGAAGAGCAACTTCAGGGAACCCCTTCTGTTGCAGATATGCAATCATTGCCTGACCACAGAGCTGTGAGCTTCTTATCATGCTCATAACATGGTCATATCTCTTCCTAAGCAAAGAAAGCTTAAAAATATACTCTGTTGCATCAATAACTATATCTTTATTCTTTCCAT